TTTGTTTTGTATTTTTTACGAGTGTTTTCCTCTTAATTTTTGTTGTTTTGATGATCTACGGGAAAGAGTTTTTTTAAAAACTATAAATTTGTTTGAATTTAACGATTGATTAAATTAACAATGGTTGAATTGAATCAAGATATTATGTATCTTATCTTCAAAAATTTATCTGAAGACAACAATACACTAGCGATGTGTATTTATGTTTGTTGCTTTTGGGCAAATCTCGCTGTTAAAATATTATATCGAGCTCCATTTAATAATATTATTCATCTTGATAAACAACTTGATATCATAAGATTATTTGAAAGATCCTTTACAGAAAATTTACTATATGATTATATATCATATTTAAAAATTATTAAAATACCCAATTTATTTAAGTGGATTAACAATATCGAGCCTCAATTAAATTGATATGTTGATTTTAAACGTAGTTGTAACAAAAATTATGGAAACCATAAGAATAAGGTATATAATTTACTCGAAAAGATTTTTAAAAGATGTGGAACTTTAAAATATCTGGGATATTGCAGCTTTCACTTTGAAGAGGTTTTTCAATTACATGATAAGATGCTAAAATGTATTAATAAAAATACAATAATTGAGATTGGTCTCACACAAAGCAATAAAAAAATATTATCTAAACTTCGAGATAAAAATATAGAGAATGTGGTTTTTTCTTTTCTTAATAATTATATTGATCTTGATCATATTGATTTGAGGTATTTTAAAAGTGTAACTTTTAAATATGGTATTACACTAAATCAGTTTGAAGTGATGGATGATATTTCTATGAACAAGTTAAATAAGTTTATGAGTTTACAAATAGGGTTCCTAGAGTTCAGGTTCAGGTTCAATGAACCTGAACTGAATCTGAACTGAACCTGAACCTGAACCACAAATTTTGTAGATCTTTGAACCTGAACCTGAACTGAACTTTAAATTTATAAACCTGAACTAAACCTGAACTTAAAGTTTTGGTTCAGTTTAGGTTTAGTTCAAGGTTTATAAACATGTTCAGGTTCAATGACAAAACATAGTAAACAGTAAAAATATGTTTACTAAATATTTTTTTTTGTCTTTAGAA